TTTAATTAAATATTTTCGACATCACCCTATATAACATATGATCAATATATTAACAATTAAACCACAATATACAGCGACTGTATTACAATAATCCAAAAACAAAGAAAATATAAAAACGAATTAGTATAACAAACTTACAAATTAAAAGCTCTAATATAATAGCATATCTCTAAAAGTGGTCATAAGACTTCAACCCAACACAAAAACCTTTAAGTTTGTCTTCTTTTTGAAATTTATATATGATTTGTATGCATGTTTTCCCAAAAGATTGACTTTTTTATAGTAAACTTTTCACTAAATGCTAATTAAACATAATATAAGTTATAAAACTTTTGAGTGTTAAATCATAATTAAGAAAACATTTTAGTTGCATTAGTTAAAAAAGGAGGTTTCAAATGAATGTGGTTTGAGGAAGTTAAAAAAGAGGGTTTCAAATGCATGAGATTCAAGAAAAAATGCTAGCTTTATAAGTATATATGATATATGATTATTATTATTATTATTAATTTGAAGGTTTGACTAGTTAGGTGTTAAGTTTGACCGGTTAGGTTAGGTGTTAGTGTTAATATATCTATTATTTGATTGATTTAAATAGTATGAAATATTATTTTATTAATGGTAGTTTTATATTATCAAATATAAGATAATTTAAATATTAATATAAAATATCATATTAATTTTAAAATATAAATCAAAATATTTTTAAATATCATTTTATATCCAAAATATAAACCAAAATATTAATTAAACATAAAAGTATTAATCGAAAATGTTTAAAATTTTAAATTTAAAGCCTAAATAAACATGTTAATAGAGTAACTAAAAAGCATCAAAAACAATTTTTTGTAATAATTGACAATTTTCACTATAAATGAAGTATTTTTATTTGTATATGCATTTGAAATTCACAAACTTTTCAAATTTCAACTAAATATATCTAATTTTAATTTGAATATGTGAATATGAGCATATTGAGTGCAAATTTTTTTGAATTTTGAATATAATATATTTAAAATGTTAATTTAACTATCATGTTCAATCCTAAATATAAATCAAAATATCATGGTAAATCTAAAATATAAATCAAAATATCAAATAATATTAAAATATTCAAAGACTATTTTTTAAATTAATCGTTTAAAATGTTTAAATGTTTAAAATATAAAACCTAAATCGAAATTTTAAAGTAACTAAAGAGTATCAAAAATATTTTATTTAAAAATAATTGAAAGTCTTCCAAACAAATGATTTTTAAATTAGTAATAATAAATAATAGTTAAAAAATAAAATAAAGTTATAAATTACGCTACGTTACATCACAAAAAAATCAAATAAGTAATTTATCTAAATTAATTATTCATAACATTAATAATAATAATAAATCGATAATCATATTTAGTTTTATTCACACGTAAATGGTTAATAATGACCATTAAATGATATTATTATAATATGGTTCAAAATGCGATACCATATTATATTATAAATTTGTGTAAGAATTGATTGTTACATAGTTAATATCAATCTTAGAATTGATTGTTACATAGTTAATATCAATCTTATAATCTAAACTTGAGATGAATTTTTAGTAAAATTTAATATTCATATTAAATTCTTAACAAAATTTAATCTTTAAGCCAAAAGCGTAAAATTGAAAATAAGGATGACCTCCTGAGATAACATATAAACATACAAAAAAAACCTGAATGAGTTATCTTTTTAAAAATAAAATATATTTTTTGACAAATTCAAAATTATATAAAAAAAAATCTTTTTCAAGTTCAATGATAAACTTTTTTTTTTCTTTTTTCATCATTTATCATCTATTTATACATACATTTTTATAAGGCTAAATATGTTATAAAATTGAGATACTATATTAATCAAAATAAAAACAAAAAAATACATATGTTAAATACATATTTAATCTAAATCTTAAATATTTATTACGGATGTAACAACTTCCATACCTAAAACTACAATAAATTAAATAATACAATATCATAAAATGTAATTAACCAAAACTTGTGGTTTTAATTATATAAAGTTAATACATAATAAAATAAATTTAAATAAAACTTAGTACCAAAAAATGTGGTCGCATGAATTTTGGTTGAGTTTTTGAGTAAATAAAAGATAAAGGAGCCATCACCATTTGCCAATAATATAAGGCCTCGGTGCACCAAGGTCACCGTTCTACATTTATGTTCATTTGATCATCATAAATGCTAGTTATTCAGCCATAAAAGACCTAACAATTATGTGGCGTTTTTCATGTCAGTGATCGATACAGATATTGAGTATGAAGGATATCGGATGTTCAACTATTTTAAAAAACTACGGAAACAAAAACATGCTTGTGAATGGGCAATGAAAATTGCGCAATTGTTGATAAAAGAAGACAACTCATGGGAAAAGACTGAATCATGGACAGATATGCGTGGTTCTAAGTTTCATGAATATGGACAGAGTACATCCACACTTAAACAAGAAAAAAAGATTCCAATAGCTCATGAAGTTGATTATCACAAGCCTGATACCCCATTGTTGTTAGCAACCAAATATGATTCTACGGAGATTGTTAAAGAAATATTGAAAGTGTATCCGCAGGCTGTAGAACATGTTGATAAAGATGGGCGTACCATTTTACATTTGGCAATCTTGCACCGAAGACATAAAATCATAGATGTTGTTGAAGATATGAACTATCCATTGGAGAGACTAAGAGGAAGGCTTGACAAGAATTTTAACACCTTGTTGCACATGGTTGGTCAAAGAGTTGATGAGCTAGCAGAGGACGTGAAACATCCTGCCCAACAATTGAAAGATGATCAACGTCTATATAAGGTCATTAATTCAGTACTTATTTACGTACATGCAAGTTATTATGCTACAAACTAAACATGAATATGTTTTTAGAAAGGTCACTCACTAAATTGACCAAAAAGGAGAATGTGACATAAAAATGGCCAATTTTTAAACATTTATACCTGATAATCACTTTTTTTCAAGGAATGTATTTTTTGGTAAAATTGCTCAAACAATTGCCTCCACTATAAAAAAATAAAACAAATTTATGTTTTGTTTTTCTTTTTTGGAAAATTAATGACATATTTTATAAAAAAAGTCATATCATTTTCGTGGAAAGAACAAAATTTTCGTAAATAATTTTATGACTTTTGTATAAAGAAGCTTCACCTAGAAAATGTGTGAGAATGTTAAAAAAATTGTTAAATGATATAATAATAACCTTTTAAAATTCTTGTTAATTTAGTAAATGATTACTCTTTGATTTATGTAGAGGGTGGAAGAGCTATGTACAGCCTTAGACACCATGACAAGAAACTCAGACCTAAAGACTGCTTATGAAGTGTTTAGTGAAACCAATGATCAACTTCGTTCAGAAGCGAAGGAGTGGATGTGTGAGAATGCCAAAAACTGCTCACTTGTGGCTGTGCTTATTGCAACTGTTGCCTTTACTTCTGTATACACAGTGCCAGGAGGTCCAGATGAGACAGGTCATCCAGTTCTCAAGAAGAAACCTATGTTTCTACTATTTACCTTAGCTGATTCCATTTCGCTTTCAACGGCATTGACATCAGTTATCTTATTTCTCAATATTGTCACATCACCATTTCGGTATAAGGATTTTGCGTCATCTCTTTTTGAGAAGCAACTTACAGCGCTTGTCCTGTTGATCATCTCTGTGGCAATGATGATGGTGGCATTTGCAGCTACACTTGTTTTAACTATCAGTAGTAAAGCGAAATGGACAGACGTGACCTTGTATGGAGTTTCATTCTTTCCGGTGTTTGTTTTCGTGTATGAGTATATGCAACAATACATTGAAGTGACGAAGGATTTCCACCGGGTACTAAAGGCTATGATGGAAAAAGTAGTTGAGATTTATCATGAGATTTGGAACTACAAACCTCATTCTCTACATCCACTTATTGATTCCATGGATCTAACAACTCGTTCACCCGTTTAGAGTATAATTTCGATGCTTTGACCATGTTTGTACCTTTTCGTTATTGTTCTTCTCGCCGTGTTGTGTCTCCTAATAGTGAATAATTTGCCATTAATTGAGTGAGTGCTGTCAAAACATCTTGTTCGTTATGTTCTTCGTATGAAGTGTGTTAAAGTTATGTATTGATAATATTTAAGTATGACTAATTATCAATGTTTTTTATGTGGTTTATGGGAAATCTGGTTTTAATTATTATACACCAAGGGTAGAGATTTGTATATATTTTATTTCTGTACTTTTATTTTACTTGCTCTCGAAAGACGTTATTTGTGAGTAATGAGTAAAGTTGCCTTAAAAGGACCCTGAACATGCACCATAGATACAAAAAAAGAAATCTACCTATCTACTCTACCTAGTCTATTAACGGGGTATTTGTTTTAGTTTATTTTTTAGGCTTTCGGTTTATTATTTTTTGGGCTTATAAAAAATTAGTGTTTGGATTAGCTTATTAGCTTAAGCTTATTTTATTTAAAAATAAATCAATTTTCATAAGCCAAATGAAAACAACTTTTTTTTTTCCAAATGATTAGCTTATTTGTTTATATTTACCTATTTACCCAAAACTCTATATAATTCTTCTTTTCCCAGCACTACATTAATCTCTTTTTTAGTCATTTAACAAAAATAAGTTAATTCAAACATTATTTTTTTAAAAAAAATTACTCCCTTCGTCCCAAAATTATAGTCCATCTTTCCTTTTTGGTTTGTCCCAAAATAATAGTCCACTTCTAAAAATAAATAACATTTTTACCAAAATACCTCATCATTATTACTTAACCAACTAAGCATTTAATGGAACATTAAATACAAAGTAAGGACAAAACTGTCATTTTATTATATAAAGTTAGTGGTAATTAATGATTTTCTTAATCTGTGTGTTTTTTGTCTGTGGACAATAATATTGGGACGGAGGGAGTATTAGCTAATAAGTCACAAGCTAATCCAAACATTTTTTTTATCTTATAAACTTATACGTTCTTAAGCTCTGAAGTTCATAAGCTCATAAGCTTAAACCCAAAAAATAAGCTTACACAAACATCCTAAATGAAACCTAAACATTCCATGTGTCCATTTTCCAGACTTTCTTTCTACCACAATATTTACGTGTTATACACATTAAACTTTAGTTTTTCCCACCCAACACACTATTTAAGCATAGATTTTGGCGATTAAATAATTTTCATGTTAATCCCCTTAAACCAGGAAGGTAATTAATCATGTATTACCCTATTATTGGTTCAAAGTTCAAAATTTTAGGATCACTAGGTGACATTTTAATGCTTTCCATGCTAATCCCTTTCAGTCAAACACATAATTTGCTGTTTTTTTTTTGGTAAGTTGATAAACTTACTTAATTTTTGAGAGATATGGAAGGAGAATAAGAACTTGCGTTCTGACTTTGTCTTTGCTTGGATAATACGAAAATGACCAAGGTGTGTTCCAAGTTTGTTGTGATTTTTCAACGGGGCTTTATAAGGTACACATCGATTTTGTGATTACTTTCGCTGTAAGTTATTTAATTTGGGGGTATTATTATGATTAGTACTTTTTTTCCAAATATCTATTTTATTTTTTTTGCTAATTGAATTTTCTTAACGAATACACTTGGAATTTAGACCGATGAGCATTTGGATAATGGTTAGAAGAATAATATAGAGCAAACCCAATACTATAAGGGTCAAGAACAAGAACAGGTTTGGATATGTGAGAACAAGGATATGATGCGCAGGGACAAGGTTTGAAAACTCAAACCTTGAGTTAATGCTTAAGATCAATGTTCGCTTTTAATTAGATGTACCAGTCAAGTCTGGTAATACTAGTCGAGACTGATGATATAATTCAACAAAGTACTCAAGTCATAAATGAAGAACTATGAGAATAATCAAAGTAAAGACAATAAATGAACAAGAAGAATGTTTTGAAAGAGTTTGATTTGAGAGAAAAGTGAAAGTGAAGTAAATGTAAGTATAGCTATCTTTAGAGAAACAATCTGTGATATTCTTGTTGTCACACCCCCGAACCAGACGGCGGAAACGTCTGGGGGCTTGCGCGTGACTTCATTTTGTAATATCATTACAATGTAAATAATTGAAACAAGACAACACCATCATCATACATATCAAATACAACCAGCATTGTTTACATCAAGTACAATATCATAAATTACGTGTTCAAACATTTAATGTATGATGATAACAAAAATATAACAAATTCCACCATTTCCTGCTGACCTTTCTTCTTAACGATTCCCTGAGAATACAAGTTATTTTGAAAAACTTCAACATATATAATGTTGGTGAGTTCATAAGCATATTTGAATGAGAAGTTTTGAATTGTTTGTAAACACCAGAAAATCCGATATTTTCTAAAAATGGTTTGAACGTGATGTATCAAAATCAAGTATTAATGCATGTGTGTTTTCTGTATTTGGAATGTATAAAAATGTAATCCATGTATAAAAATGTAATCCAGATAAAAACCTTGTATTTTCTGTAGTACGTAAAAGATATTGTTTAACGGGTATTCCCCAGAAAATCCGATATTTTCTGTTTATAAAAGTGTTGTGGTCTCAACCCTAAGACCGAATAACAGTATATGTTTGTTTTTGTATCTACAAGATTTTATAGGTATTCTATAAAATTATGTTGGAGAGAATTTCTAAGTGAGCCGTTTTAACCATGCTTGATTTTTGACGAGTTCGCATGTCGTGGCGTTCTTAGGCGCCGGTTCGATTTACGGTAAGGTTTGTCACCCTAGACTGGCCTAGTCTAGCTGTAGCGAACAGCTCAGGTGTGGGGAGTCACCCCGTATAGATCTATACACAAACTCTTGCTCTCCCTCCATGAGACTCTGGTTATAACTACAGACTACGATCATACACTCTAGAGGTATCAACCGACAAGTCTCACTAGATCATTTATTGTTTCCACACGAGTATTGATTTACGCTATGTATAATGTTTTCGTATATATAGTTAAGATTTGCAAAGCCCAGAAAATAGGTACATGAATGTATAAGGCCCAAAAGACATGTAAGGGAGCAGTTATGGCCCATTAGGCATGTGATGTATAGACTAGGCCCATTAAGCATGTTAATGGGTCACAAAGGCCCAATTTAACATGTGATAAACACATTAGGCCCAACAAACATGTAAATGGGCCACAAAGGCCCAAATGGACATGTAATGGATATATTAGGCCCAATATCACGAAATTTACATTTGTGGCCCAAATATATATTAAATATTATTTTTGGCCCATTTTTATAGAAATTGACATTTTTGGCCCGAAATATATATAACATATTATTTTTGACCCATTTTTATAAAGATTGACATTTTTAGTCCAAATATATATAAAATATTATTTTCGGCCCATTTTTACCAAGATTTACATTTTCAGCCCTTTTTTTTATAAAAATGGCATTTTCGGTCCAAGTTTTGGAAAAATTTGCATTTTTAGCCCAAATCCAAATAATGTGGCATTTTCAACCCATAAAACCGTAAGTTTTACATTTTAGCCTCAAACTTGTGTAAAATAACAATTTAATCCATGAAAATCATAATTTTTACAACTTTGGCCCACTAAAACCGAAAAGCCCATTTTTAAGGCCCATTATGCAAAAATTTACGTTTTTGGCCGCTTTATCTCCAAGATATCGTAAAAACCCATTTCTTTTATAAAATTGACTCCTTTAGTCCTTGTAAAACCGTAAATGTCAAGAAAGTCTCATCTTTTTGGTTATTTGTCAAAAATGGCCCTTTTTCAAGATTTTTGTTTAGTTTCTTATGAATCTTCACATGTTTAGCACATTTATCCTTATAGTAAGTTGTATGAAGTGTTGGAGTTTCCAAATATTGTCTAGATCCATGAAGTTCTTTACACCATCACAACATACATTTAGAAAACACACATAAACATGCACAAATACATAGATCTAACACATAGCAACTTGTATTCTCCCCCAAAAACAAAGTAAAACCGAAAAACAAGGGGTATGAACTCACTTTGCTTTGATGTTTTCGGTTCTTGGTGGTAAAATGAGTAGATCTCGGCCCTAGGAAGCTTCTTGAGAGGGATTTTCGGTCTTAGATGGTCCTAGGAAGCTAGAGCGCGAGATGAACCATGTAAGGGAGTGTTCTTGGCTTAAAATGGAAATCAATAACTTATGTATGATGGAAACTTACCAAGTGGGTGATACTTGTTGAAGAACTCTTGGGATCACACACCAAAGTCACGAAAATAGCAAGGAAAAATGAGAGAGTTCCTTCTTGAGCTTGAGAGGAAATTATGAGAGTTTGGATGAATTTTTGAAGTGAGTTGTGGAGAGAGGAGGGCCTCTCGGCCGATAATAAGAGAAGATAAAGAGAGAGAGAGAGAGAGAGATGGTGAGGTGATGTGCATGGAAGACCACCATGCAAAAATGATGTGTCAAAGCCAAATAAATCCTTCATTTTTTTTGTTAATTGATTGGGCCGAGAATTGGGCTAAGAAAAGAAATGGAAATGGAATGGTTTGGGCCCATTCTTGGTTTTGTTCGATTTTTAAGAAGCCTAAGTATTTTTCGGCCCACTGGGCCCTTTTTAAGGTCCTCGGCCCAATGAAGCTCAATAGAAGGTTTTACGGCCCATTAGAGCAAATGGAATCATTTATGGTCCAACAAGGGCCAAATGCTAAAACCTTATGGGTGTGGGTCCAAAGAAAGCCCAATTAGGGTTCCTAGGCCCAAGATAGTCAAGTTGAAGGTTTATTGGTCCATTAGGCCCAATAAGGGAATCCTAGTTCATGTTAAACTTGAACTGGAATTTTTAGGGTTTCAAACACTTAATTGAACATATGAGATGTATTTGAATGAGCATAGAGTATGATATTCATTTAGAGTATAAGTTATTACACTAGATGAATGCTTAAATGAGAATAGAATTTCCTAGCTAAAATGCTAGTTGTGACACTTGTCATTAAAACACTCCTTATATAGGAAAAATGAGGTACATCGTACAATCTGGTGAAACAAATAAATGACTGGATAATAAACAGCTTCTGACAAATGATTATCCAAGCTTACAAAAAGACTCAG